GGGTGCACTTTGGGGGGATATGAGCCTCCCCAAGGCAGCGGGTACAAGCCAAGTGCCCATCTTATACCGGCATTGGCTCAGCACAACCTGCACACTTTTTGAAACCGGGGGAGCCCGGCATTTTGATTTCTGGGGACTGAACGTTCCCGCCGGCTAAGTGCAGCCGCTTGTGCGTCCCCGGTTTCTTTGGGTTTGTCCTCTCTCTTACTTTCCTTCTCCTTATTCTCTTTTATTTTATTTATATATATATATTTTTTTAAAGTAACCAGAGCAGGCAACAGAAAAAAAAAACGCAAACACTGTAGGAAATAGCACTGCTCTTTCTCGGTTTCTTCTTTTCTTTTCTCTTCTTTTTTTTTTTTGGGGCTAAACGCGCTTTATATTTTATAGTTTTTAAAATTATGAACTTTCCCCACAGCAAGCGACCGAAGGGAAGAAGGGGGAAACTCTGAGGAGAAAGGGGGGAAGCTCCGTCTGCGACCCAAGGCGGATGAGAAGAACTGGTAGGAGCCGGACCGCGCGCGGCAGATGAAAGGCGCGAAACGAGAGTGCACGCGCGTGGTCCGGCCACACAGCTCTGTAAAGCTCCGATTTGCGGCGCCGGGACCAGCCCGACACCAGACGTGGAGCACCCACTGCTTCTCTGACTAGATGAAGGTAAGGAGAGAGAGAAAGCTCCATCTGTAACCGAGGACAGTTGAGAGGAACTGATGGGAGCCGGACCACGCGCATAAGGCAAAGGGCGTAAATGGCGCAAGACGCTGACCGCACATGTGCGGTCTGGCTGACTACAGCTATTGAAAGTCTCTGATCTGCAATGCTGGGATGAGCCTGACATCTACAGTGGAGCACCCACGGGGACACTACTTGAAGAAGAACCTTACGTACCTTGTAGATTTGTTATGGTTGCAGATGTTTAGACTAGGTCTGACCTCTCTGGATTGAAAACCTGAAAGTATCATGAATAAAACTTTGACCTCGGTGTTCTGGAGGAATCTCTTTCACTGCTCCCAAATGCAAAACCTGATAGAGGAAACTGATAGAGCAGCAGTAGCTCATGAGACGGGCCCTGAAGAGGAACAGGTTCAGCAAGGAGAAGATATGGAGGGCAACTGGATAGCAGCCTAAACTAAAGTGCTAAGGACTCAGCTCTCTATAGTAATATAGCCTCAAACACTGAGAAAATGGCCTAACCTGCCTGTGATGGAGCGTGCCCGCCCCGCACGGGAGAGCGGGTCCGGGACGCGATGTACAGCCGGCAGCCCGGGGCGATCTTG